ATTAAAATGTAAGGCCTTAAAATGCCTCCTCAAGTCAATCCATGTCTCTGGTATTGACCACAATATATGGCCCGTGTCCAAGCCGCCGCAACTCGCTGGCCAATCTTAAAGGTTACTGCAACCACTACATGGACCCACATTAGCAGGACACTCACCTCTCTGGGTTTATGGCCTGTGTAATAATTTTAAGCAAAGAGAGAAGTGCATTCAGTGGAGACAGTAACAGCGAGAGAGTCGAGGGAGGACAAGTATAGTATGATTGATCGTGGCGAGCAGTGTAGCTGTGTACCTCTCACCTTCCCCCCCGATTACTGCCTGCTCCTGATCTCTCACATCTGTCTTGACTTCCTAAAGAATCAGATTCTTTAGATATGATACTTTTCACTCCTGGGATTAAAACTTTGTCAAAAGGTCGATTTTTTTTCCTGAGGAATATCCTGCTTTACATTTGTTCAGGTATACACATGGATGAAGTGTACACTGAAGTTACAGTAGGTGTAATATATTGATTACAGGCATTTAGACCTTTGTAGTTCAGGGAATGGTGAACTCCCCTTTGGATTTTCATCACCCCAAATTTTTCCATCCGCTCCAGACCAAGTCACCGGCTACATTTATTCCTGTCCCACAAATACATTGGAGATGTATCAACTCTCTAATTGTGCATTTAACATTCTTAACAGTTTATTAGTTTACCTCCCACACTAACACTTGAAATGATTTAATAACCACAGGGGGAGTTAACTACACTCATTAGCAGATGCAATATTTCCTACATAGTTATCTACCTTTCAAGCACAGTACTATACATGCAGTCTGTGGTGCAGGGATCTAACCATGTACACTGACTCAAGTCACTATGTTTAAGTACAATTTAAGGGTACTTGTACCGCTGCTTTATACGTCAGGGGAAAAATACCACACTTTTTACTCTATTAAATGTATTTCATAGCTACAGTTACTCCTCACTTTGCATTATAATTAATATTTTACATCCAAAACACATGATCAGCTTGTAAAATATGACACATTGCTGTAGATTTAACAACAAGAATCTGCTCCTTCTCAACCCGATTATCCATAATGTTGTTAATGTTTGATGTCCGTACCCAAACAAGTACAAATAGATTGACAATACTGCCCTGATTGCCTTTCTCTTAATAGACCATTTTCAACATTATTCTATATATATATATATATATATATAGAATATATATATATAATATTCTAAATATAGCGTCCATTTATACTGATACTTTTGGTGGCTAAAACCAACCAATTGAAGCAGGGTTTGTTCAGTGCAGTTTCATTCTATGAACATGATTCAGGGAGTTTTCTTCCCAGAAGTAAGTGTAAATTAACATCTTGATTCGCTCTATACATCTACCGCCTTTCTTTTTTCCAGTGCACAAGCATGAATGTCCGCTGTTGCTGATTGGCTTTAATAGTGTTGTTTGGTTCGATCCAGGCAATGTTGTGTTTTTTTCCCATTTACACAGCTGTATTTGAACACCTGATATTTTTTTCAGCACACACACAATGGACAGCAGACTGGGAGGAGATATTTGCTAAATTTGCCAAAAACATGTTTCAGATTAGAATCACTGACTGCACCTTTAAGTTAAGGATCTGGTTGCTTCTGCCACCACAGTCTGCAACATGCAACACCTGCTATTTTAAACTCTGAAACATACATCAGAATTTTAAAAGCGCCATTCCTTGGATATTAGTTTACTAAACGAAACCAAGGAGCAGATTCAACAAATATTCATGCTCCCTCTCTCTGCTTTCTTGTGTGCAACCATAATGAAGACAAAGTGCACGCACACCAGCGACAAATACCAGGAAATAAATAAGAATAAAGTATCCAAACCAAATGAAAGACTGTTCATAATTGGGTTAGTAATGTCTCTGGCACCGTCTGCTCGGTCATTTCCTCCAATCTCCCTGAGCAACAGGGGATCATACAGGCGACACTCAAACCAGGAGGTATCTTGCTGCCGTGTGACAGGCTGCCATCACCGGGCTCCAACATTCTTCCACCGTCTCCAGTACCAACTCTGATACGAGGAAGCTCAGAGAAAAGACGAACACCATCTTCAGATGTAAAACACGCAGCCATTTCACAAATCTTTGAATGATTTGTGACCCCTTTGTGGACAGTGAAATTGTGAAATCATGCACCCATAACTTCTCACTTAATCTGTATTACTCTCATCACAACAGAGCAAGCCACTCTATCAGTAAATGCTAATCTCCTAATTAACAAGCTAATTAGGCAATTACAGCTTTGCAGAAGGATGCCTAAATGAAATATGACAACACAGTCACTTTCTACAGCACCTGTGGGTCTTTTCAGATGTCACAATGAGAAGCATGATGACAAAGTGTTGTCTCTACACTCATAGGTGCTAATTCCTATGCCTCGCTTAGCTCATTTGTAAAAATATTGTCATTTTATTTAACCCAATGTACAGTGCATGTGGACACAACTTGTCAAATTACATGTAATTTATTCCTCTTCAAAGACACTGACCTGCAGCACTGTCAGGACTTTTTTTTCTCAACAATCTGATTTCGGAAATGAAATGTACAAAAAACAGTGGAGAGCAAAACCTCTTGGTTATGTAAACAAGGTTTTGTGAACTAGTAGCGCCACAGTGTCTTACGGTAGGGAGCTGTCACATACGGAAATGAATTATGTTGACATATGGCTGAAAACAACGGTGAATAGGCCTGCTATGCAATGCAATGAAGAATCATGCACTGCAACAGAGGAGAGGAGCCCGAGCTGTACCTTTGAGCCCTCCTTGACAGGTATGTAGTGTGACTTGACAGCTCAGTATTTCAATGATAAATGCAGTAGACCTGGGACTCCCATTCACTAAACTCAAGAGTGTGTTGCACCGATACTTCAAGGTCAAATGAACGAGCAGAACCACACAGACTGCTAAAGACAATCTGGATTTTTTTTTTTTGTCACATGCGGTGATCTTGTGATTTCTAATATTAGAATTTAACACATATAGTCATAAAACTTCCTCAGTGATTTCCTCAAGGTACCTTTCAATGGCAAACTGACCACCTTAATCCTACTACATGATGCTGAGACTTTCATTAATAAAACTACATGTATTCATACGTTTTGATTATAAATATCAAACTAAATTTACCGCATTTACTATATGTTATTGCTCATTTATTTTGGGACATCTTTGACTCATCAGCTACATCCTGGCCTGCAAACTGAGCAGCAGGATCATGTTCTCCTACTTTGCTACTAAGAGAGTTGAAGAGTTATTTTAAGTAGTGACTCACTGTGTCTAAGTTTTAATAAAAGTTTCATACTTTTCTGAAGATTAATCCAGTCACTCAGTTCTGACTCATGAAGATGAATCATATCCTGAGACCAGGTGGTTAGTGATCTATCTATACTTTGCACTGACCAGGAAGAACTTACGTTATCAAGCAGTGTTACAATGGGTACACTTAAGTTGGTATTAAGAAATAAGATGTTTGTATTAATGAATTAATTCAATAGAATTTGATTTAAAAATGTATTTCATTATCAATCACAATTGGAGATCATGTTTGTCTGTATGTGTAACATCACTGTCAAAACACTGTATACCTTACCCTAAAGAAATAAAAGCCTTTCTATCGTAGAGATGATGCTCTGCTTACACTTAATCTCAGTGTCACCCTGCAAGTGTGCTTATTTTTGTACTTAATTTTGTTGAAGAGGATAAAATATAGTGTGTTTTTGAGTTATTTCTCTTTTCCTCTATTTTGCTGTGAAGCAGTGAAGCAGATTCCAAGCCAAGTCTGATCCAAAGGCAGCCATTGTAAAATACAGCACAGAGACAGTTACAGACTGCCAGTAAAGCCTGCTGTCTGTCTGTTTGTTGACAACATTTTTTGATAAAATCCATAAACACTGATCACAAAAATGCTACACAGTGCCTTTAGAGGTGAAAACATTACACCATTGCATGTAAAAAAAAAATTGCATCCACATTACCAGACTGCGTAAAACTACCGCCAACAACAAGACCTCTGAAACATGGAGATTTGTTTTTATATAAATTTCCACAGAAAGCGCTCACCGCCACTGGTGCCTGCAAAAACAGTGAAGTTATTTCTCCCCCAGCAGATCAGGTTCCTCAGAGTAAACTGCGGCCTGTGAGGATGAAGTTTGTCAGGACGGACTTCTGTTTGGCTCGTCAGTGTACGACTTCAAAAAGAGACTGAAGAGAGGCGGAATGAGACTGAAATGAAAAACCAAAAAGTGGAAAAGTGTTGCAGACAGTTAGCAGATTTTCCAGGGATAATGCTGATCATGGCACATTTCTTCAAGTGGAATTTTAGGCAGTTTAACACTTTTATTGATTCTTTGATGACTAGTTTTGAGAGAAAAGACATCCACAGTGGTTATTTTTGGCTGCTGGAGGATATATGTGAGCAAACAGTGCATAAAGCTGCAAAACTGTCCTATAATGCTGTTTGTGTTGACTTTGTGACTTTGTGGTCATCGTCACATTCATATCAAATAAAAAGTTCAGCATGTAAACCTTTTTTTGCACATGCCCTCCCTTGCAAGACATGCTGTCTTTCTGCAAAACTCCAATGTATAAAAAAATAAACCTGCCTTTAACTGCTCACTCTTTATGCTTATCATGAAATCCCCTCCAAAAATTAAGGCAACCCCCTATTTTTTTTCTTTATTTTTATAAATCCACACTCTAGATGCTTATTGTAGAGGTGCACAGTATATTTGCTGCCTTGCATCCAGCTCAACAACTTGTCTGCTGCCATAGCAACTGCGGAGGAGCACCGAGCAGCGCCGCCTGCTTGTGCAATGGATGTCACTCGTGGCAACGACCAATCAGAAGTTCCCATCCTTTTGTACGAGCGGTGTGAAGATGGAGGGATGGAGTGGGTGGGCTCTGAGCATCATGCATCTGCCAGTAATAGGACACGCGGATCGTCAGTCTTCGTCATTCTGGCCTGCGATTGGTCGAGGAGCTTTACTTTCCAATAATATAAACATGTCTACTGCTTGCCTGGCTTGAACCAAGGCTTACAAGGGACTATGCAGTTCTACATCAAACTGTATAAAAACTCTCATTATGCATTTGCCTGTGTTGTTGCAGGGCTAAATCTTTATTATTGGTAGAGAATATGCACATTGCTGCACGTGCACGCGTGAGGAAACGAGGATACCCTGCTGCCGCTGCAACAAGAAAGAGAGAGGGGGACTCTGCCGTGCTTTCATCAATATAATCACCATCCTAAGTACTAGCTCTTAACATTTTGTTTTTCGGTGTTCAGGCGAGAAGTGACAAGAATATAGACCCCTCCTCTGCAGGGCGGAGCGTGCATTTTCATTTCGTATTTTGTATTTTTTTATTTTTTTTTTCTACCCCTGTTCCCTGCTCTGACACGTCTGCACTGAGTGAGTGGCATTGGCACACTGTCAATCGCTCACTACCGCTGCCATCAAACAACATAAAACACACACAGGCAGAGGCTGGAGCTCATAAATTTCAGCAGGGCAAGATATTTTTTTGCGCATCGCCTTTATACAGCGTTGTATCCTAATTAATTTCTTCTCGCTTTTTTTCTAAAACAGAAAATCTCCCAACTTTTTTTGTACATTTCATATTTTTTGATAGTCACATTTGGACACCTTATGCCGCAGATTGTGTATTTTTTTTAACGCTGTCAGTTGTCGCGGGAATCATTTCTGTACATTTATAGTTGGTAACACCTGCGAGATTTTTTTTTTATTTGTTTACACGTTTCCACATTGGATATTTTTTTTTGTTGACGGTGCTTCACTAGCAGGATTTGGACATTTTGGAAGAGGAATGCGCCGGGAATCCCATGAAGAGCGCTAATAAATGAGAGATCACCAAGGAGCGTTTCTGTCTGTACCAGCCGTCAAATCCCAGAGAAAAGACAGATTGGCATGAGGATTCGTGCGGGATACGATGGACCGTCAATTCTGACAAAGAAGTGCTAAGAAGAAGAAACAAGATTTATGCATTTTTGTACAAACACAGACACGCGTTTTGGCACTTTGGACCGCGCGTAAAAAAGCGAAAGGACAGCAAGAACTTGGACACATGATTTACGCTAAAACATCACCACTAGGCTTTTTTTAAAAGACGTGTGTGCTCTGTTACCGCTGAAGAACCACAGCCGTGCATCCTTCTTGTCTACGGCATATGTTATAACCGATTTCGTATATGAGTTTTTCAATTTGTGTGGCTCAGTGCACAGACTCTTTAGCGGCTACTATGGATGATCAAGCCCGGATCATGCAGTCGATCGGCGGTGTCAGTCTGGCCGGCCACTCGGTACAAGGAGGCATGGCACTGCCGCCTCCACATGGACACGATGGGACAGACGGAGACGGAAGAAAACAAGACATTGGTGACATTCTCCATCAAATAATGACCATAACTGATCAAAGTCTGGACGAGGCGCAAGCAAAGTTGGTTGATTTATATGTTTTATTAACTTCGCCCCCCCTCCTCCAAAACGCTGAACGCATCATTATTGAGATGTGGCCCGCTTAACTTAACTCCCCCATGCATAACAATAGGCTGGAGTGGCTTTAATGATAATCATACACTGAGGTGTATTTACTGCCTCGCAAAGATTTAACACAGGAGAAAGTTGTCACTGAGGGAACAACAGCATTTTATTTAAACTGCTTGTGTGCCAGCGTGAACCTGAGTGAGCTTGTGTTGTGCAGAAAGTTTGTGTGCACACATGTGCTGTAGTAAATGTTCATATTTCTGCACTGCTATAGCTGGTGCTGAGAAAATGAGATCCATGTCAACGGGCTCACTATTAAATTAGTTGTCAATTGGCGTTATATTTATATTCAGTCTAACCAAACATACTTTAATTTTTTTTACTGTATAGTAGCAAATATAACTTTTGAGAGAAATGTGGGTTGGAACATTGCAAGGCATGACATAGTGACAACTACACTTAACATCTTTAAAAAAAATTACTTGTTAATGTCTTCCATGTGATTTTTCAGTGAATTTATTTCAGTATTTTATTTTGTCTTATACTGAAACAGGAAACATGGACTGAACTGTCACAGAATGAAACCAGCACTCTTCAGCGTTCTCTGTGAAATCAAAGAAAAGACAGGTAAGATCTATGTGTATCAAATATTTCAGTGTGAACTCAAAGACAAAACAATAGTGGAGCCTCGATACAGACACACACAGACATTCTTACCTCCCCTGTGATCCGATGGCAGCCTGCATCCAGGTTACAGGGGACCTCTGCCCAAATTAATCAATCACTTTTCCAAAAAAAAAAAAAAATGTCAGTGTGCCACACAGAAACAATCCTGTTGTCATAGCAAAGGTAGATTTTTTTTTCTCCCCTCCACTGTTTTTGCAGAAGCATCATGTACCAGCACTGGTTGCTTGGATTTACACAGAAAGTGCGCTCCAGCTTTCACCCTCACTACCCTGGCTCTGAACAGGATGGGGAAATCCCGTAGCATATGTTCTACATAGCTGAGATCACAATGAATTCATGCTTTATAACCTGACAACAATTGCCACGTTTTCAACGTACGAAGGCAACCACACTCTCAATCAATAATTGTATTCCAATTGCATGCAGACTCCTGTCCTACAAATGTGGGCAGTCAAACATTGTTAAATGCAAATAAGAGAATCAGCTTGTAGAAAAATATTTTAAAAAATGTATTTAAAGAAAAAATATTTTGTTGCATATTGTGCAGTTGCTTTTAATAAGCATCAAGTCTGCAGATTTCTATGAATAGAGTTGAAAACTTACAGTCTATGCGTACATTAACACATATATGAGAGACAGCTGAAATTATTACTCATGTTGTGTGTTGTAACTTTTCTTTTAGCTCAAATTTTGCTGTAGTATATATATTTTTAAAGGCACCTTAGAGCAGAAAGATTTCTGTTTCTACACTTTCCCCACGGTGTGTATGGGACATATCAGAATCTACATCTCTTTAAATTCTTAAATGAAGACAAAATTGATTTTTAGAGATAACAGCTCTTCACAGACCATATTTATTATGCTTTATATTTGTGTGATTGTTCTGTTCTTGAAACTAGAGACAAAGTGCTGCTGCACAGATGCCTCAGATATTCAAACTGCTGCACATCACTTTTTATTCTCCAAGTAATGTATATTTATCAGTTAAAGAAAATGTGAGAATATGAAGGAAACAACGCTGCCCGTTTGGTGTAATTTAGCAAACCTTGTCAGATTTGTGACCTTTGTGCAGTTTATGAGGAAATTGGCTTGGGAGAGATCATAAAAGTTTATGAACTTCCCCAACACAGGTGGCGTCCACAGGGGCAGGCAGAGGGTCCACAGTCTAGCCGAGGTGCTCTGCTCAGTGTGTGTGTGTGTGTGCCTGTTGAGTTTAGACAATGAAAGAGACCAAGCGAGAGAAGGATGCAGATCGCACATCATGCAAGATGCCAGCTTTTATTTTGTGTGCAATCATTGATTTGATTTAGAAGCATTTTACCAGCACTGAAACATTGCTGCATCAGTGGAACGTGCTGTCGACCTCGGTGTGAAAAATATTAGAGAAGTGGTATTATTTTAAAACTTGAGTCAGGTCAAAATCCTGTCTAATTTCACGTTTGTCAAAACTTGTGTGACGTCTCCAGTTTGAGTGTTTTTGAACGAAGCTCTTGAGTTTAAATGACTCAAAGTGGCATCTGCAAAATTTAAATAGATATATGCACATGTATGTGTGTGAAAGAGTGCATGTTCCCCGGAATGAGTGTGTGTGAGAAAGAGATGAAACGGAGGAGGAGAGGGAGAACAAGCATGTGTGTGTGTGTGTGTGTGTGTGTGTGTGTGTGTGTATGTGTGTGTGTGTGTGCATGGTTAACCTGTGGTTTAGAGTCACAGCCTCCCCCTCTTAGCCATTGACAGAGCTCAGCTGGTCTGGTGGCCTTGTTGACCGGCCTGTTTTTCCAGCACACAGTGAGCCTTTCACTGGCTCCTGTGGCATCGTTCACAGGGGCTTCCTTGGCCCCTTTCATGTTCGTTCAGATGGCACAGGGGCCGCTGTCTTTTAGCCATGGGATCCACCAGTTGGCTGAAAGTGACTTTTAATAATAAATTTGAAAGCGGTCCAAGAATCTTGGGTGTAATTACCGTGCACATGTATCATGTTATCGAGACTTATTGTCCAGTGAGCGCATGAATAGTGAGTTCAGGGTTCAGCTTCAAAGCTTTTAGTGTTTATGTTCAAAGTGTTATTTTGTGATCAATGGTGAGACGAAGTCAAAGTGGTGAGAACGGTCGTACTCTTGATTTCCCTGTCCAAGTTAAGAAATGCATTTTCTAGAAACAGTGAGATATTCTGAAGCCTTTTTTAAGGGTGTTTGGAAGTTTCTGACTCTCTTCTAACTTATTATTGTAGAGCTACAACATATTTCTGCATTGCTAATGCCCTAGAAGTATTAATTCACTTTGATATGCTAATTAGAGAGCATTATGCAAGAAATGAGATTAAGTGGCAGCATGAAGTCATTTGCCTGTCACTAAATTGAGTGTTTTTAGCAGGAGGGTTTTTCCCCCCAAAATTTTCTTGGTTTTGCATTTAGATAAGCTAAACCTGAGATCTGGTCGGCGAGTGGAGTTCTTTGTCCTTCAGTGTGTGATGTTTCTCTTTAAGAACATACATTTTAAAAAATGACAATTAAAATGTTTCATTCTCACATTTCTAAGTGTTTCGGGACAAAGGTTACATTCACGTACCTTTCCCCCTGCAGGCTGCACGAGGAGACAATGAATGCATTGAGTGAAAATTGCCTGCGATTCAGATGAGTTTTGCAGTTATTCCTCTGCGCTGGGGTTTGTTTTATCCTGCTGGCTACTCCCTTGTCTTGCTCTCATGCTTGGAAGAGAGGCTCACAGCAGCAGCAGCAGCGGGAGCAGCAAGAATAACAAAGGTGAAAGATTACCTCCATATGGTATTTCTGACCAGGAAAAGAGAGGTTCTGTAGCAAGACTCCTCTTTGATGTGAGGTTTAATCAATAGAAAGAGATTACAGAAAACTATTACAGGCTAAATCACGGAGTGCCACAGAGAGGCTTAGCCCTCTCCACAGCTCTCTCAGCTGCATGGCGCTTCTTTTGGCTGCGTATTGACTTGTTGTTTTCCTGACCTTTGACTCATCAGGTTCAGAAACAGGGGGTCTGGAGAGGTAGGGGAGGGAGAGAGGGAGAGAGAGTGTGTGGCAGATTCAGCCTGATAAATGCTCCGATCCAGTGTTTAAAGCAGTGGATTAGGGAGGGACTACACTCACAGTCCGAGCCAATGTCGGCGTTTTGTTGCACACGTTTGATTTGGCTTCTGAAAGCGGCTAAACGTGCTTTCATGTATGTTTATGGGTTGTCCGCGTTATATGTAACGCTCAGCTAGGAAAGACTGTGTTAATTAAATACAGTTCAGGATGAGACTGTAATTAACCACATGCAAGGCCGACTAAAAGCATTACCTGGAGTAAATATAGTTAGGACTGAGGAGGTAAGCATTTCTGAAATCTACAGGAAACATTAATTTCAATGTTCCCTGACAAAGTTAATGACCCCACTCATTTCAATTGGGTTGTTATTATTATTAATAATAATATTAATGATAAGGTTATTATTATTATCATGATTATTATTGATAATAATATTAATTGTTAGAATAATAATAATTATTATTATTTAATTTATTAATTTAATTTTTTATAGCAGCTGCGGTTAAAAATAACAATTCCTTCTTACAGGCCAGGGAGCATAAAAATATTTTCTATTTCCACTTTATTTTTCTACCTTATGGGTTTTTTCTCAGTGCTGAAAAAGCTCCAGTAAATGCATGACAGAGAACAGAAAGCTATTCAGCAGGAGAGACAATTGACTTTGGCTGCTTTTTGTCTCAGAGAGCCCCAGTGATGCGGCTGCAGTGACTAGATAGTGTTGTGCCGAATGGCTCGCGCACAGCTGGGTTCCTGACTGGCTCAATGGCAGGGCCACTAGTGCTTCCTCCTCTAAAGCACGAGGGGGACCGGGGAAGATGTGGCTATTATCTAAGTAGCTCCCAAATACCCTCCATTTCCCCATCAGCAAAGATGAAAAGAAGAAGAAGCCAGACAAAGAGGAAAGGGGAGAAAAGAAAAAGAAAGAAAAAAAAACAAGAATGTACACATCAGTTTCATTTGGAAGGGTAAATGCTTTTGTGCTGTGGAGATAGATGCCTCTGCACCGGTGCTGCCTGGTGTCTGCACGCACAGCTCCTCAAATCTGGTTTTTTGTACGATGATTCAGTGCTGTCCCTCCATCTGCACACACGAGCACCCATCTTGCAAACGTCTCCCTCGCTTCCCCCTCCATCGCTCCAAGCGCTTTCTGCGGGCTCCTGCGCGATCAACAGCTCATAATTGTTTTTTGCACATACGTTATGCAAATGAGTCTTTATGGCAACTGGCATAACAATTAGCATCCTCCAACAATATTTTAGTAGGTTAATTGCGAAATTTCTGAATTGTACATCTGAGTTGTTAATTAGGCATGACAGAGGTGGTGAAATAGTTATCTTCAGGCGGTGGCAGCCAGCAGAGGCTGCTTGGGATGCAAAAAGGAAGGATTGATTGAAATGAGTTTACAGCAGTAGGAGCGTGGCTGTTGGAGACTCTTTGCATGCCCCTTTTGCTTTTGGAGGCGTCTGTCTGTCGCTGGATGTAGAAATATAAACCTGAAGCAGACAGGGAGAAGCCAGTTCAAACTATGACCCCCTGTAGAAATAGATTAAACGTGAACGATACAACTTGTTGTCTTGTCGGCATGAGTTAGCGAGGATTTTTTTTTTCATGCATCACTGAGGCTGCACTCTCTGTCAAAACAGTGAGAGACCTTTGACCTGCCAGGCATAGTTAAACCAAATGTTCCTTTTTTAAGGAGATGCAATGTGGGATTTCCACTGCTTGGAGTAAAGATCATATTTTACACTTTTCATCCAATGAGGCAGATTAACCAAAATAATGATAATAACATAAAAAGGAATAATTAATAAAAAAAAATCTAAATAAAAATAAAAATCAAGTTGCACTTCCTCAGTGATTTTTGGCACCAGAAACAAAATT